ACTATTGTTTTTTTCTATTATTTGTTATTACTTTTTCACATATATCATCATCACACCGCAATTTATTTTTGTTTATTCGTACCTTCTTGCTTAACACTCTCTTCTTTGACTGATAAGTTCATCAATTCGTTTATCTTTTAGCTGCTTTTCCGACTACTAACTCCCATACTCCGGTCGTCTAGCTTTATGACGAACTATGAAATACTCATACAGCTAGATAACCAAAGAAATCGCTAACTGCATTCAGGAAACATACGTAACATTGAAAAGCCAATTTTTGATCTTCTCCGTGATGATATCATTTATCGATGATGATGTCCACTTTCTGCAAATGCCGATATTTTATATTTCCGAGTTCTCATAGGAAGTAGCAAACGTACAAACGGTATGAAATCTTCATTAACCACAAAAGCCACATCTGATCAGCAACCAGATCATTCTAGCTTTCCTCTTATTCTCTGATTTCTTCCCTTCCTCTTACTTTTTTTATAAATGTACAAAGAGAAAAAGAAAAAAAAAATTAAGAAGAAATCTCGCAAGGGAGTCGTGATGGGATATTCCGTGCTATGAGTGTGTCATATAAGTGCATTGTAATTAATTTATCAGAAATACGGAGCAATATATCAGGAAGGAACAGAGAGAGGAAATCGGAAAATGGTCGAGGGAAATTTCGAAAAATCAAATCCAAAACCAATCAAAAAGTGTCAATGAGAATTAAATAAATGATTTTGACGTAAATGAATCAAGATAACGCTTAATCGGACCTTTAATGAGATAAATGTGACAGTATTACTGTAAAGACTCGTAAATGCAAACACTCACCAGATGTCTTCAGGTCTGTTTCAATTCTTGAGCGATTTGTAAATGTCCGATAATTGACAAACATTTATATTTTTTAAGAAGTCTATAGGTGACAACAACAATACGCTAGCAGATATGATTCATCGGTTATAATGAGGTCACTAGAGTGATCTGATCATTTCTTTGATCATACTATCATTTTTCTATTTGGAAAAACAAAATATGATAAAAAAGAAACTAGTAGTATAAATAAGCCAGTAGAAATGGCTTAAAGTTTTCCCAATCCTAAAAGAAAGAAATTAAACATATCCCTAATATGCTAGACTTAACCTTTATATTTGTCTCTCACATCATTCATCTTTATATTTCTCTCAAACCATTCAAAAACTTATCTCTCATAAAAATGACTTGGATTACTGCAACTAAAAAGAAAGGTCTCGCAAAAAGAGAGCAGCAGGGGATATAAAATGTGATCAAACGAGTCTTTTTCCTTTTGAAAATTTGAAGTTCGTTTACCGCAGGATACAAAAACTAGTTCCTTTTATTGAAACATCAAATCTAATGATGGGGAAGTGAAAGATAAAAAAAAAAAAAACTGGAAAATTGATATTATATTCCGATTTTTAAAAATTCACCATATCACATTTTGCTAAAAATCCGGACAAACAATGAGAATGATTTCGGGATAAAAGAAATCGCCTCACCAAAATGTCCAATATTATTTCAATCGGTAATCTGTAAAATCCGTGATCATTGCCACCGTTACACCATCATCTTTTCATCGATATTTTCGTCCTCTTACATGTCTTGAAACAATCGACCCCGATTTGGTATTGAAAATAATCTCACTTCAATAAATTGAACAATATATCTAAAGAAGTGTAAAATTGATAAATCCTAAATATCACATCTAAGCAATGTTCCAAATAACTTTGCTTAATTTTAGATGAATAATTTTTGCAATAATTCATCATACTATTTTACTTTCTCCCATGATCATAAATAAATCGATTAAGAAAAAATAACGAAAATTTTCTGATCGATTTTATTCCATGCAAATTTTATTATGAAAACGGAAATGACAAAAGTCGTAGGGGAACAAAATGATTTGTCATCAATCAAACAAAGAAATTTTCCGCATTCTATGTATCAGATATAAATATGTCAACTTGCCTAAACTATTTCAAATGAATGCAAAGCTTATGTTTACATATATTACATGAAGTTTTGTCTTTTCAAATTCACAAACAAAATTGGAAAATATTTGAGGTATGATTGTGTAAACAAACACATAAAGATAATAAATAATTGCATGTAAAATAAGTGATTGCTAGGGAAGGAGGGGAAAAAAAAAAGTCGTAAAAACCCTTCGTACATTAGAAATGCTTCGTTTTTTTGGAAAAAAAAAAAAAACTTTTTGCTAGCCTATTCAGGAAATGGTTCATACCAATGAATCATGAAAGGATGGCTTTATTGGAATGCACTCTTCCAATAGAATCACACCTTGAGCCAGTATTTCTCAAATACGTTAATAAATATGAATTTTGACATGTACCAAATCAATCCATCGATATTAAGCAAGTATCTGAATTGAATGAATTTTTTTAAAAAAAAAAAAAAAAATGTCACACTTCTATGACAATGACATTATTTGTATCAGTTCATTATGGTAATACCAAAATAGAGATTGATATGTTAGAATAAAATTAATTTCACTTATTTCAATCATATCGTTAAATTACTAAACATTTTGAAGATTACTTCAAATCTCAATAAACATGATATATGGAATAAAATTTTCGATGTATCATTATTTACAGGTATTAGGATGCATGAGACATACCGATCGATCATACCTACCATATCATTCAACTATTTTGATTATATGTCAATAAAGGTCATTTAATTTTAATTAAATATCATTAGCATAAAGAGACTATTACTACTACTACTGTTCTACTAACTACTACTACTACTACTACTACTACTACTACTATTTCCGAGTAACGTTATTTAAATTACCATGACAAACTACATATTCATCAAAGCACTCTATATTGCCGTCCATCAATAGCCAAGCAAATCAATCCGGAAAGGACTATATCATCCGGTTAGGCGTATTGATAAAGAATAGAAGGAAATTGAAAATTGGATGAGACAAATAAATGAAAAAGAGCAATAAATGGTTAAAATTGAAAGAAGAGAAGGTGAAAGAAGTCAAAAACTAGTCCCAAATGAGACAAAGCAAGCAAATAGCAGAGGAGGGGAAAATGAATGATACAGCTGCGGGTAACGACGGCGGGTATGTCCATCCATCCATCCATCCTATCATCATCATCATCATCATCATCATCATCATCAGTTTCTCTCTTCCACCCATTTTCCTAAATATACAACATTGCTGTAGAAATAGAATGATAATACCAATTAGCTAAAACAGTTAA